CGGCCCATTTGAAATGAATAAAACTAAAAAAAAAAAAAAAAAAAAGACCGTATCCTTTTATGTAATGATGTTTACTTTGAATTTATATTAGTTCACACAAACACTCCATCCATGCTTTTGTTCCGGGCCTCCGGTCCAGTTTAAGAACCCATTGTGGCCCTCGAGTCAAAAAGTTTGCCCACCCCTGGACTAGGACCTAGTCGAACTCCCGGTTGAACCATTGCCCAAGGGGATAATTTGCATATTAGGCTTTTATTATATAGGATGAGGATCCCCTATAGCCATTTTATCTTTTGTTTTCTGGTAGCTCTGTGCCCCCATTGGTTCTTTTCTTTGTGTTTCTGTCTATTCTTTTTGTTTGGTGGTATTCCATACTTCTTTCCTCTTTTTTTAAGCTATAGGTCTCAGTTTTTGTGTGTGTTGTGTGTGTGGTTATCATTAGGTTTATGAAAAGGAAAATTTCATATATACAGTAGCTTTTTTCTTTAAATGCATCTGATCTCCATCCTTCTTTGCAAATTCAGATCTTTCACTGCTGCCCTTTTATGTTTTTGTTATCCCAGAATATCCCTGTATATGCTGCAAGATTGTTGGTGATCTTACTCATAGTTTTGTGACTTTTTGTTCTTTGTTTCAGGTAGAATAAGATCCTTGAGTATTTCCTGCAATGCAGGTCTTCTGGTGATAAATTTTCTTAACTTCTGTATGTCTGAAGAAGTCTTTATTTCTCCTTTATAGCTAAAGGATAACTTTGTTGGATATGTTATTTTTGGTTGGTAATTTCTTTCTTTTAGTAGTTTGAGTTTTGGTTCCACTTTCTTCTAGCTTACAGAGTTTCTGCTGACAAGTCCAATGATAACCTAATGTGCTTTCCTTTAAAGGTTACTTTCTTACTTTCCCTGGCTGCCTTGAGAATTCTTTCATTGTCATTAATTGACAATTTTAATACGATGTGTCTTGGAGAAAAGAAAGCCTTTTTGGATTGAGGTAATTAGGTGTTCGGTTTGCTTCTTGGATTGGAGGATCTAGTTCTTTTCGTAGGTTTGGGAAGTTCTCATCAACCATTTGTTAGAATAACCTTTCTATTTTCTCCCTCTCTTCTTCTTGTGATATATCTGTTCTCATATTGTTCTTTCTGATGGAATCAGAGACTTCTAATAGAGTTCTTTCATTTTTTTATGCTCAAATCTCTTCTTCCCTCTGCATTATTTCTACATTTCTATCTTCAATACCACTAATCCTTTCCTCCAGCTGCTGTTTCCTATGCTCACTAGTTCATCCTCAGTCTCTTTTATCCAGTTTTCTACCTCCAGAATTTGTTTGGTTCTTTTCAACAGTTTCAATCTCTTTAGTAAAATACTGCTTTGTTCGTTGATTTGTTTTCTGAGCTCATTAAATTGCCTGTCTGTATTTTCTTGAATCTTGCTTTATTTACTTATTTATTTGTATTATTTTTAAAATATTTTTATTGATTTCAGAGAGGCAGGGAGAGGGGGAGAGAGAAACATCAATGATGAGAGAGAATCACCGATCGGCCGCCTCCTGCACACCCCCCACTGGGGATCAAGCCTGCAACCTGAATTGAACCCAGGACCCTTCAGTCCACAGTCTGATGCTCCATCCACTGAGCTAAACTCTGTTGAGTTTTCTCAGAACTGCCATTTAGAGTTCTTGAATGTCTATTGTTTAGATCACATATTTCTATGTTTTTAAGTTTGTTTTCTGGATATTTTTTATTTTCTTTCTGAGCTGCCTCGCTACCTTGGTTATTCATGATATTTGATGGATTCCTTCTCTGTCTATGCGTCAATGTATGAGTGGCATTTATCTAGAAGGTTAAATGAAGAGATCTTTATGTTATTTTGCTATAGGCAGTAGGCAGTGATGAATCAGAAGCTTTTTAGCTCTCTTGCACTTCTCTGGCTATTCTCTGGTCCCTGAGTATGTGGTTTCCTTCCCTGTGATAGTGTTTCCAGGTCCCAGTGGACCAACCCCACAGGGGAATGTGGTAGACAATGGGGCTCCAAATCCGTGAAATCCCAATGCTGTCCCCCACAGTCAGACACTGCTGTCAATGTAGCAATGATGTGTGGGGGTTAGGGTGAGCTGGGGTAACCTGGCTGGCTTCTTTGTTGTTTTGTCCTCCAGGTAATAGCATCCTTGTACCTCCAGGGGGTCCTCCCTGTGCCCTCACCCCAGGACTGGTCACATTGTGTACATTTTGCTCAGGAAAAAAAAGTGAATCTGTAGTACCAGTTCTCGGCTTTGTCGATATGTGCTCTGCAACCTGCACAAGATGCTGTGTTATTGCCCAGGTCTCTGGGCTCAGCCACTGCTTGTACTGCCCACTCCTGCAAGAATGCCCACTAAATCTCTTTGCTTCTTCCAGCTGATGGTCTTGCCAGCCACAGCCTGACTCCTCCCCTCTCTAAGCTGAGCCCCATCATGAGCTCAGGCTGTAGGGCTATGTCCCGGGCTTGTCTCAGCTTTTCTTCCTTCTTGCCTCCCGGGTTGGCGCCCACTTGCCCACGTTTAGATCTTTCAGTGTGTAGATCTCTAAGGTGTGTTTGTACACTGAGGAGGGAATCCTTTGTTGAGTTATAGCTGTTCAAACTGTTGAAACTTCAAGGGAAAAGACCAAGGGGATCTCTCATGCTGCCATTCCTCTCAATTTCAATTTCTAAACATTTCAATTTAGACTAGACATATTTTAGTTGCTCAGTAGCCAAATGTGGCTATTGGCTAATACAGCGATTTTTTACTTTTCATCTCATGTTGCACATAAACTAATTACTAAAATTCTGTGGCATACCAAAAAATAATTTTTTGCCTATCTGAACAAAAATGTAGGTATAATTTTGATTCATTCACACCAGGCAGTTATTGTTGTGTTGGCTGTTGTCATTATTTTTTTATTTGACAGTATAAGGGAAAAGAGGTCAGTACCCCTGACTAAATAGTCAGGTATTGTATGTTTTAAAAATTCCTACAGGACACCAGTTGAAAATCACTGGGCTGATGTATTGGACAGTGCAGCTCAAAAGGAGTTAAAGATTACTGTATTTGCCAGTCCTCCTTTAATATCTTTTGTCTCATTAGGACTTATGGTGTTTTAATTCTTTTTCTGTAAAATAAAACTTAGGTCATATAGACTTTACCAAGAATACCTTTTATGGTATTCTGTGGCTTGGAGTTTTGAGAGAGGTGGAGAATGGGAAAGTCTTTCTAGGAAGACTTCATAGCTAATGATAAGTTGTGATGATCTTTGAATGCCTGCCATCTAAGTGTTCTGTTTTTATTTCTTCATCTTGCATTAGCAGAGACTAGTGAGATTGTTTGGAAAATGAGCACAATATTTAAAGTATTAAAGTGATAAGGAAAGTGGGTCAAGAAAGCTAATTATCACCCAATGAGCATTATCCTTGCAGAAAATCTCCAAAAGATAATGAAGGGCAGAATCTTTTGCCTTTTTTTCCCCTAGCACTTCAACTACAAGTAAACTGTGGCTTCTGTTATCATATAAGTTTGATATTGCCCATCTCACCAATTGCTACTTCATTTTTTTATTTAGATAGTCAAGTGAAATTATCTAGTTAGGTATTGTGTGTTTTAAAAATTACTTATGCTTTTATGCATGCATATAAGTCCTTTGGTTGAGGGATGTGGACAACTGGGGGTGAGGGAGAGGGCAGGATTGGGGGAACGAGGGGATATTGGGGAGATAAGGACACATTTGTAACATCTTATTCAATAAAGGGAAAAAAATTGAAAAAAAATTATTGTGGCATACTGGTTTAAAGTCGCTGATCTAGGCAGGTCAGAGGACTGCAGGGGGAAATAGAATAACTTCGCCATAGTTTCATCCTGGCTTTAGCCTTTTGGTACAGTTTACACTGAATGGAGACTTCTAGACTCTCACCTATCTGCTTGCTACCTTTTAGCAGTACTCTGGAAGCATGTGTCTATGCTAGAAATGAAATGTAACTGCTAATAATTATACTGCTCCCAGAAGTTCCGAGACACATTAGATGTCCCTCCAGTTAGTGTTTAACAGTGATGCCAAAAACAGACAAGTAGTTAATTATCTTTGACTAAACAATCTGCTTCTTAGTATATATGTTAGTGACACTCATGTATATATGTCTCAGGAGTCATACACTAGAATGTTCATAGCAGCATTGTTTGAAATAGTCAAAAAGTATCCATTAACAGGAAAATGGGTGAGTTGTGGTAATATGCATCAGAATATCTGATGGCAGTGAGAATAAATGAACTTTGGATACACATACATACCAGGCTTCATCAAAAGAGGTTTCATTTCTTATTCTCTAAATCAAAGTAGGCACAGGGTTGGGAATATAAAAATATCTTAGCCTAGATGAGTAAAAGGGAAGAAAGAAAAATTCTCAGCACTGCAAAACTTCCTTTATTATATCTAAAGTTGTGAGAACTCTGTATTGTGTTTTCAAACTGAGAATCAGAAAAACAATCACAATTAGCCAGTACATTCACCATTTTCTTGGACATTTTTAAATTTCCGAAGTGAATATAGCATTTTATCTAGCAATCTAGCTAGCTAGTTCCATCCATCTCCGTAGGCATCATCTTGTTCATTTCTTGGCATGCTATGCTCGTTTGTACATATTTTAATGTTTGAGAATTTTCCCCAACTTAAATTTGATTTATATAAACTTAATAGAGTGCTAGCAGTGCTTGGATAAAGAAAATTTTAAAGTTGATTTGATATTAAATTGTATCCTCATTTTAAAAAAAGACAACAATAATTTTTAACCAACTGTTTTTAATTTTTGAAGGGAACATATCTTAGGTCTGATTATACTTGTCCTCTTTTTGGGCCTGTGATTTTTCAATACAAACCAGATTTTAAAACCTCTCATGTTCATTTTTAGGGGAAGAAAAAAAAGGGGGTAATCATATATTGTAATGGCAAATATAAACACGCCATTCATTAGGTTTCACTTTGTTTTCTATTTCTTTAGTGGTTTTTGGCGAATTTGTCATATCAAGAAGCACTTTCAGACACACAAGTTGCCATTGTTAACATTTTGTCCTCAACTTCTGGTAAGAAATGTATTCTTAAAATCTGCATTATGAATCAAGATATATTTCTAATATATATATATGTGTGTGTGTGTATTATACACACATTTTTATCTTGTTATAAATTATGTCATTTGTTCTCATTACATTAGTGTATTGTAACTATTTCTTAATCTTTATAGTTTTATACCATAGCCTTTTACTATTTATATTTCTAACAAATACTTCACAGTATTTTGTATACCGATATGCTGGCTCTTTGTATTATAGTTGCCCTATCTTTCACATATTCTTTCTAAAGATCCTTTTCTAGATCTTTTTCTAAACGTAATTGCTTATCTTAGAACAATAATTTGCCCTATGAAAGGTGTTTTTATTTTTAAAATTGAATCACCTTCCAAATCTAGAAGATAACAAGTGTTTTGAAGCTGTAAAAATAACTTTAACATACAAGTTTGATTATGATGATGTCAGAATATTATTCTGAATGCTCAGTTTAACTCTTTTCTTAGTTTTTTAAAAAGGGCTATATTTGATCTGTATTGTTGAAATAAACATGGCTTAGTTTAGAGGCTGTTTTTTTGTGTATTAGTTTGGTTGTAGTCAATCCTCATCCAAGGGTATTTTTCCATTGATTTTTTTAGAGAGTGTAAGGGAGAAGGAGAGACAGACAGAGAGAAACATGGATTGGTTGTCTCCCACATGCGCCCCGACCAGGACTGGAGATCAAGTCTGCAACTGAGGTACATGCCCTTGACCGGAATCGAACCTGGGACCTTTCAGTCCACAGGCCAATGCTCTATCCACTGAGCCAAACCGGCTAGGCCTAGAGGCTGCTTTTGTGTATGAACATTTCAGGGTAGGTAACTGCAGTCTTATTTTTAGTTCTTTTTTTTTTTTCTTTTTTGAAGAGAGGAAGGGAGAGGGAGAGAGAGATAGAAACACCAATGATGAGAGAGAATCATTGATGGCTGCCTCCTGCATGCTCCACACTGGGGAGTGAGCCCTGACTGGGAATTGAACTGTGACCTCCTAGTTTATAGGTCAAGACTCAATCACTGAGCCATGTCGACCAGGCTTATTCTTAGTTATTTAAAAAATGACAAAAATTAGTTTAAAAATTATTAAATTGATAGTAAATAATTTTGACAGAATTTAAGCCAATGTGTCTTTTTTCATCTTTTTCTCTCCATAGGACTTTTTACCTTAATCCTTGCTGCAGTATTTCCAAGTAACAGTGGAGATAGATTTACTCTTTCTAAATTATTAGCTGTAATTTTAAGGTAAGCAGGTAGTGTAATAGCTTATTTATTCTGTTTAAAAATATGATGTATAAAATTTTTCTGGTTGTGAGAGAGGACAATTTATGTTACAGTGTACTGTATAAGCAAAGAAAGATGAGGATAGTAGAAAGTTTTAAATGGACATTTTGTTACTCAGCCCTGTGTCTTATCCTAGACTAGTTTTCTAAACCTCCCTAGGGAGGGTAACCTGAGGGAAGGACCTAAGGCAGGAGTAGGCAACCTTTTTGTGAGTGTGTGCCAAAACCAGCAAAATCTCTGACTCAAAATTCTTCTGCGTGCCAACCCTAATTTTTTGAGAACATGTTACGCCTACTTGATATCTCTTAAGGTGTACGTATGTGAAGAACCTTGAAGAAATAATAAAATTCATTCGAGCGACAAAAACACTATATGATGATGAAAAATACATTTATTTTTTAATGGCATAGAAATTGCTCTTCACCTCTCTCGTCAATCCATGTCTGTGGTCTTTAAGATAACTTGTTATGTAAAATTATTTATCTAAGATGCACCTACACTGAATTTATCTGAAAAATAAAAAGTCGATATTAAGAAAAAAATTGTAAATGGAAGATTATAAGAGAGGGTTTCGCGTGCCAGCAAAAGTTACTGGCGTGCCATGTTTGGCACGAGTGCCAGGGGTTGCCCCCCCCGACCTAAGGCATGTTGGTTGCCATTCATGTGACTGCAAACTAAGTATTGTACTGATGTTTACATTTAAGTTAATGTGACAAATTAATATTTATAATCTTCCAAATTTCCATTTTCTTAAAACAAGTTCCCCTTTTTGTTTGGGTTTTGGTCTTTATTTCTCCCCCTTCTAGAAATCTAACATGCAGTCTTCTCTGATTGCCTCAGCCTTTCATTTATTTTTTTATTTTGGCATTTTTATATTATTGGGTAGCATCAATATTGTCAATAACTGTGTTCTAATCTTTTATTTTTGTTTAACTTTGTGTATGTTTGTCTTGTCTTCTCTATGAGATTTTAAGCCCTTGAAGGTTAAAACCTTTGTGCCACCAAAGGCCTAGATAGGGCTTTGCTCACCGACAGTACTCAAAAAAGATGTGTTGATTTGATTAAGCTATTGTTTTTGTGAGAGAAAATGAAAAATCAGAGAAAGTAGCAGAATGATTTAACGGAGAGATTGGTATTAGCTGTCAGAGTTAGGTTTGAATCACAGCTCTGCTGTGTCCCTGGGCACTTCCCTTAGACTCTGGAAGAACTTCCTAGATCTCAGCTATGTGATTTTGGTCAATACTTCCTTTCTTTGTGCTTAGTTTTCTCATGTGTAAAATGGAATGGTAATAACAATAACGCCTTCCTATACGGTAATATTGTACATTTTGTGTGGATTAAATTAGCTAATACTATAGCTCTTATACTAGATATTGCCCTGACTGCTGGCTCATTTGGTTGGAGCATTGTCCTGTAGACCAAAAGGTTGTGAGTTCAGTTCCTGGTCAGGGCACATGTCTAGGTTGCAGGTTTGGTCCCTGGACGCAGTCCATCTATGTTCCTTTCTCACATCAATGTTTCTCTCTCTCAAATCAATAAATCTCGGGTGAGAATTTAAAAAATTGTTTGATATTAATTACATCACGACCTATTTGACAGTTTTACCCCAAAATTAGTCTTGATCATTTATAAATAATTTTCATCTCTATGCTTAGTCCTTTTAAGGGATTTATTATTTTGCTCATCAGTAACAACTGTTATTCTCATAGCATTGGAGGTGTTGTGCTGGTAAACCTGTCGGGGTCTGAAAAATCTGCTGGAAGAAATACGATAGGTAAGTTTCTGTTAGAGTATACGAGAAAATTTTGTGCATATCATCATCCTGCCCACGCAGAGGATGGGCACGAACTGGGGCTTTTTAAAAAAGACTTTTTTTTAGAGATAATGTTAAAAACATTCAAAAATATTGCATAGAATTCTCATGTAGCCTTCATCCAGATTCTTTGTTAACTACGTACATAGATAGCTACAAAATATAGTTCTAAAAATCAGAAGTTAACATTGATTAGAATTATATTATCTAGTCTGTATAGTCCTTTTCCAGCTTCACCATTTTTTCACTAATGTTCTTTTTCTGATCCAGGATCACTGGTTGCATTTACTTGTCATGTCTCTTTTGTTTCCCTCAATCTGGAACTACCCCTCAGTCAACTTTTTGTCTTTCGTAACCTTAACACTTTTGAAGGTTACTGTCCTTTGGTTTTGTAGAATATCCCTCAATTTGCGTTTGTTTGATATTTCCTTATGGTTAAATTTATGTTGTACCTTTTTGGAAAGAATACCATGGAAGCGGTATTATGTTCTGATCAGGATATTATATCAGAAGACACATGCTGTTGATGTGATTAATGATGTTAATCTTAAGCTGGTGTCTGCCAGTTTTTTCCCTTGCTTTTGCTCCATTATTTAGATTTACATAACAAAGTTAATCAGAACCCAGCCTAATGGTTTTCCTCTGGGTACTGTAGATATTTGAAGTTTATTGAATAGAGTAATATTTCTAAACTATTTCTGGATACTATCCAGTGAGTTGTGTCTTGAATTGCACCTTTTTCCCACCCAAAATAATTTTGTAGGAGAAACAATATATGTATTTGTTGTGTGTGTGAGATTTTGTTGACAGGCTTTCCCATTGCTATTTAAAAAAGTTGATAATAAGCAGATTTAGTAAAACATTGGACTTTTGGATAATTGATTAAAGTATTGAATATGGTCACTTGGCAGATAGCATATTATTTAGCTATTTTTAAAGTTTTACTACATGTTTTGAGAATGAGTTACTACATTAAAGTGGATCAATATTTACTATGTATATACAGTGAGCCCTGCATTATGGGAGGTATTTTGGGACAGTAAAAAGTATAAATTAAGTATTCGCAGTTTTCAAGGAATTCTTGGTTGTAATCAGTAGCTAAGATTTGCAAAGTGAAGCCACTAGAGAATAAAATTATATCACATTTAACTATAGTAAGCATTAAATTGCCGTAAGTAGAAGACAGGTAGGATGGAAATTCAGCAGAGGAGAGAGGATGCTTTGTGGCAGAGATAGGACTTTAATAGAGCCTTAAAGATGGTAGTGGAATATATATTAAAAATGACACATGTGCCCTACCCGGTTTGGCTCGGGATAGAGCATTGGCCTGTGGACTGAAGGGTTCTGGATTCGATTCCGTTCAAAGGCACATATCTTGGTTGCAGGCTCGAATCCCAGTTCTAGTTGGGGTGCGTGCGGGAGGCAACCGATCGATGTGTCTCTCTCACATCAATGTTTCTCTCTGTCACTCCCCCGTCCCTTCCACTCTTCTAAAAAGCAAAGGAAAAAATATCCTCTGGTGAGGATTAACAGAAAGAGTAAAAATAAAAGTGACAAGTGATAGGGGAAGAAGCACTGTTAAAGTTGGACTGTGTCAGGTGGCAAAATTGTTTATGGAGGGGAAATAGAAAGTGTGGATTTCAAAATTTAAAAACAAAGTGTTACTTATATGAATTTCAGTATTATAATATGTGTGTTGGGTTAGATCGTTGAGGTGAATGTTTTTGCATTTATTTGTTTACACTTTAAACTTTCCTATACTCCTAGAGGATAAAGATAGGGTGGGCTGTACTTTATCTTTTCACATTTGCACACTCATTTCTTGAAATAGATCCAACACATTGTTAGATTTTAAATAAGTGTGTGTTGAATGAGTTAATGAACAAATGCTTTAAATCATTATGTGGATCTTTACAGGTTCCATTTGGTCTCTTGCTGGAGCCATGCTCTATGCTGTCTATATTGTTATGATTAAGAGAAAAGTAGACAGAGAAGATAAGTTGGATATTCCGATGTTCTTTGGTAAGAATATGTTTAATTTGTGAGGCAATTTACTCTGAATTATCACTTTAGGGAAGAACAGGAAGGTATGTAGGCCAAATTCTGGGGGGTCTGGAGGTCCATCAGATTTTAAAGATTATGAAGTCCAATCTCAATGTTTTTCTCTTACCTTGTCCTGCATAGTTGTGCACCTATGAGGGATTGTTCCTTTCCTCAAAGTGAGGTAAAGAAAAAAATTCTTTTTAACGCCTTTTAAAAAAATAGTCGTAGTAAACATTCATTGAGTGTGTACCAAGTAATAAGCATTATTCTAAGCCCCTATGCATATTAGCTCTTTAATTCTCTGAACAACCCTATGAGAGTATTACCCCCCTCTGACAGGTTTTGCATTAATGTCTTCAGCCTATGAATCAGATAGTTTTCTCATTGATATGACAGAATCATATATATATATAAAAAAATAGTCGTAGTAAACATTCATTGAGTGTGTACCAAGTAATAAGCATTATTCTAAGCCCCTATGCATATTAGCTCTTTAATTCTCTGAACAACCCTATGAGAGTATTACCCCCCTCTGACAGGTTTTGCATTAATGTCTTCAGCCTATGAATCAGATAGTTTTCTCATTGATATGACAGAATCATATATATATATATATAAATTCGACTGGTTGCTATGATGAGCACCGATCAGGACTGGGCGAGATGGGGCCGGATGCCCTGGAGCCCTCCCACGGTCCCTCCCTGGCCAGCCTACCTCCCTCAGGGTTTGGGCAAGATGGCCCCGATTGGCCCCACCCGTGCATGAATTCATGCAGCGGGCCTCTAGTGCTATTATAAGCAAGTGAGAGTATACTTGCTGTATTATACATTTTGCCATTTTTGAGTTGTTGGAAGCATAGGATTGGGGAAACTGGCCCCAAAAGATATGTATAATACTGTTCTGGTCTATGTACTTATTTTCATTAAAAATTGTGGGCCATTTAAGGTTTTTCTGTTCGCATTTTATCTTTAAGAGTCAGACTCTTTTATGACAAATATTTTTCAAATTACCCAAATATAGTTTCTAGCATCTGTTTTTAATTTTGGGAAATAAAATACCTGATATGATTTATAAATTATCTTTTGTCAAAAATCAGCTCAGTAAAAACTTGTGTTACCTGTAGACTATCTGTGGATATCTTTCAAAAGATACTGTAAAACCAATAGATAAAGAAGCCTGGTGATGAGGGTTCAAAGTACAGCTTACAGGGAATCAGGAGACCTGGAATATATAGCTGTTATATTAACTTCATTTATCTCATGCTTATCTGAAAAATGAGGAAATTGGACTGATGGGTAGCTTCCAAGCTGATTTACAAAGGATCTTGGGAAGGTTGGTAGGCCATGGAGCTGTATGCGGGGGTCTGTTTCAGCTGGAACAGCATTGCTTTGTTAGGCTTATTGCATTATCATTTAAGTTGTAGAACAGATGTTGATGCTAAAAGCAGTTTGAATATCTTTACCTAAAGATTGACAGAAATAAAAGGCTTGAAAAGCCACCAAACTGAGTGATCACTCAAGTTCCTTTTAAGTACAGAATTCAATAAATATACCTTAAATATGAAGATCATTTTAGTCATCTTATTTTAGAGCTATAGAAAATTCTATCTGTAATGGCGTAAAATGCTATTTATTTTTTAAGATTGGCAGCTTTCAAGAAACATTGCTTAATTTAATAGAATACGCATAGACATTTAACTTGATTGCTCTTCTTCATATGTGATGTGAAACGGAAAATATTGATTTGACCTGAGTTTTAGAATAGATGGGCTTATAAAAGAAGTTATGGGTGGAACGTGGAGGGTGCCTTAGGCATAGGGAAGTGAGAGCATGGCAGGGAACAGTGAGTAGATCTGTGTGATTGTGCTGAAGCCTTCACTTTAGGTAGAACGGTAAGGTATGTAGGCCAAATTCTTGAGGGTCTGGAGAATAGAGGAAATAATTTGTAGGTCCAGATATTGTTAATTGATGTGGGATTTCATAGACTTGATAGTTCAGGGACCAGAAAATAGATTTGGTTCTTAATACCAAATTTTGGTATTTTAATGACAACTTTTTAATGTTATGCAAGCCTCTTGGATCACTAGTCCCTTCTGTATGTGTATCGTTTTATTTTATTTTTTATCACTAGATGTCTTAAATTGAGTTTCTTAGATGCAAAGTAGGAGACAGGGCTTTAGTGTGGGTTATTTATTGAGGGGGTCCTCTGCAGGAATAACTGGCAAGGGAGTGAGAGAAGCAGAATGGAGAAGCTGGTGTGGCAGGCAGCGGGTAATGTCGAGGGCACTCCTTGGAAATGTCCTGGCCTTGAGCCATTAGGATTTCAGCCACAGGGGTCGGCCTGTGGGTGAGTGCAGTCATTGGCTGCAAAGGATGTAGTGTAGGCAGGGATGGGAATTTCCTGGGAAAAGCAGACTTGTTTAATGTCCAAGACAGTTCTGTAGAGAAGACAGAAAGAAGGCTGTAAGATTTTAGCATCGGGTGCTCCAGTCTTGTTTCTATTTAACTGGGCAGCCTAAGTTCTAGTTTCTTGTTTAGCAGCCAATATAAAATATATATCTACTGTAATTTAACTTTTTAAATGAAAGCTCTTATTGTTACCTCATGGATTTCATAGTGGATCCTTGATGCTAAACTGTATAGAAAGTGCAATAAAAATTATAATTTTTCTTTGTAGTCATTACTATATACTATTTGCATGTATATAGTCATATGTAAACTTTAATTTTTATAATAATAATAGCTAGCCTTTTTTAACTGTTTACTCTTTGCTAGGTACTGTGCTATATTTTGTCTTTTATCTAATCTTTCCAATAACCTAAGTAAATATTGCTTTACACTTACAGACTAGCAAACAGGCTTAAAAGAGGTTCTGCTCTTGCCTCAAGTTTACACCACTAGTGAATAGTAGAGTTGGGATCAAAACCCAGGGCAATCAGACTGCTCATACTCTAACCATTGAACATTGCAGCCTTCCTTATAAGTAGTCTGTGCTCATACATTGGATAGGTATTTGCATAGATGTGTTACCGCACCAACTAGCTAATGAGCTTTGGGAAGACAGGAACCAAGAATTTTATCCTTTTTTGGGCCCTTCTTCCATTATTCCTAGTATAGCACAGGAGCTTTAAATATAACTATGAGTTGAATTAGAGAACAAACCGTGCATTTCCTTATACTTAATTTAGGGTAAATATACAAACACACACCAGTTATTCTTTTAACTTCCAAAATAATACAGGGTAGGGCAAAGGAAGGTTTACATTTGCTTGTATGGAAACCAGTAAGTAGTACTACAAGAATAAGCTCAGTTTTGCATACTCAGGACTGAAAACCTACTTTTGCCTTACCCTGTAATTATTAGTAGCTAAGGTTAACCCTTCTTTTTGAATTGTTTTAAGTGGTTTATTCTGTAGCAGTTGGTCCAGGCACTGTGGGCATTTGAACCTTGAAGACTCAGTGGACACCAGTTGCTTGATACAGTTTTTCCTGGTGTTGAGTTATCCACAGGACTGGCTTAAAAACAAAGAAACAAGTTCCAGTTAAGGAAATCTATTGGAGCCCTTTGTATAAGATCGGTTTTATAAGTATAGAGTTATAAGTTTGGAAAATTTAAATAAATCAGAGAAACTAACATTTGTCTCTTTATACATGTTTAGGTTTTGTAGGACTGTTTAATCTGCTGCTCTTATGGCCAGGTTTCTTTTTACTTCATTATACTGGATTTGAGGACTTTGAATTTCCCAATAAAGTAGTATTAATGTGCATTATCATTAATGGCCTTATTGGAACAGTTCTCTCAGAGTTCCTGTGGTTGTGGTATGTACTGTTTATTACCTCTGATTTATTAGTTATCAGTTTATGGACTTTTGGATAGTTTAAGCATTTATGTTTTTTTGGTCTTCTGATGGCCCTTGCTGTGCACCTTCTCACCTCACACTTAACAATTTAATACAGTAACTCCATTATAGCGGGAGCTTTGTGATTTTTTAAATTTCTAATTATCCATCATATAGAGCAATGTTTTGCACATAAAAGGAGCTCAGTAAATATTGAATAAATGAATATGAATGACCTAAATTTGTAGTGTTTTTTGAAGTAGTGTTATACAAATGAAAAGTGGCATCTAATGTTCATCCTAACTTACAAGATGTATTTCCTACATATTAATGACATGAGTTCTTAGTGAGACTCTGAGGATTTTGCTTGTCTAAGAGCCTTTGCTTATTTTAGAGACTTTGTCTCTTTTGTTTTGTTTATTCTCAGGAATTTTCATGTGGGTGAGTCACATATGTAAGCCCTAAACTCTGATTAGACATGTTAACATACTTTGAAATGTTATAATATCAAATATGTTGATATTTAATAATAATCCTAAAATAGTTGGAAGATAATATCATGTATGGAGTTTAAGAAACCTTTCAAATACAGAGCTTGATACTTAGTCCTACTTCCACCTAATAAGAACTGAAAAAGAAACACAAATTGTACTTAAACTACTAAATGAATTTTTATTGTATGGCATTTAAGATTGCTGACTAGTTTCCCTTGCAAAAGGCTGTGGCAAAAATAGCCTTTAGTAAGAAGTCTTTCTTTATGCTCTGCCTATACTTCTTCCTCTTCCCTAATAAGGGACTAGCTCTTACTTTCTTGATATCCTCACCACTCACTCTTTCATGTAGTACTTAAAGATTTGCTTTGTATTGTAGTAATTTATGTACCCATCTTAAATTCCTTTGCTAATCTAAAACTCTTATCTCAGAATCCACTTACTCATTTATTTTTCCATCTTTTTTTACATGCATTTATATGCTTTTTTTTAACCTAAAATAGTTACATACTTTACCTTATACATTAATATATATCATATCCCTCTTGTTATCACTTCTTTTGTTCTATCATTTCTCTTGTCTCTCTTCACTCTTGGTTCTGAGCAGATAAAACTATTTACTGGTTGTGTTTTGATTTAACTTAGTAGGATCATAAAGAATTGTTGATCTTCAGCCATTTTTGACTGCAGTTTCATATGGTTTAACCCAATGAACCATATGCTTTAAATAATTATGTATTCATTGCATTTTAATACAAGTTCATATTTTCTGGTTTCGTAAGTTTGGTTGAAGTTGGGAAATTCCAAAGCAGAGCATTTTTACATATCTGAAAGAAATAATTAAGTTTTTCTTTGGATATTAGACTAAGTAAAGGTTTAGTTTGGTCCTTATTACTTGATTATTACATTGAGACTCATAGTAAACATGGACTGTGCCACCTATCGATATTAAAATGCTCATTCGTTATTGAACACTTTATTTTTAATAATAAACATATGCAAAAGATTTTCATTATGTCTAGCAGAATTTAATGTAGGCTTTGGGGACAATAAAATATGAGTTGTGATGTGTAATCTTTCCATTATGAGAGATTTTATAGTTTGCTCCTTGGAAAATTTTATATTTAAAGAAATAATAAATAGCATGTTTTACAATATTCTTTTTTATTTAACTTTTAAAAATTAAAAGAGTGTACAAAAGGGTTCACAATCAAAAGGAAATGTCCCTTCTACCCCAAATACCTATTCCTTTTTCTCAAAGGCAACCACTATTAACATCTAAACCTTCTATAATATTTTCTATACATACAAAATTATGTTTCATTCTCTTAATTTCCCCTCAATTTGTTTTATTTTCAACACACAAATGGGAGCATACTGTGGATATTGTTCTATACTTTACTTTTTTTCACAAATTGTCTTTCAATCTTCACATAACAGCACTTAGGTTCATTTTTTTAAAGGCTGTATTTTAAAATACTTTATTCCAATCCATTTTGTTATGTAATGGATAGAACATGTTTTACCAGTTCCTCATGGAGAGACATTTTCAGTTTGCAGTCTTTTGCTTTGTGAATAATACAGCATTGAATATTCTTATATGTATCTTTGCACATATATGTTAGCATTCTGTAGGATAAATGCCTCTCAGTGGAAAAGACTGAGTCAGACATAAAGACTTTAAATTTTGATACAGAATTGCAAAATCATTCTTCATAGAGGGAACACAATTTCTATCCCCTACTGTGTATTTGTGAGTGTTTGTTATTGAATAGTTAAACTGGACACTGAAATTCATATATTATGATTAAAGCTATATTTACCCTTACCTAGGATGGATTTTTTCAGGATCTCAAGGTTTATTTTTCAGATACACCTCTATATTCAAGTGTTTATGAGTTCTTACAGTAAAAACTCAGTAGCAGTAAAGTGAGTAAGTAATGAAACAAACATATCCCTAAATACTAGGTGTTGATAACTCAAAATAACCATAACAAGCCTATCAGACTTTTTATGATTGTACTTAGCATTATAAATCTCTAAGAACATATGCTACATTAAAAATATATACATTGAATCCCTGAACCCTCATTTCATAGAGCAGCTTATGAGTAGTGGAAACCACTAGTACTTGAGTTCTCTTTATTGCAGCAATAAGAACGAATTGGCCAGCCTCTGTTGAATATTTCAAATGAGACTTTCAAGAGATAGCCTCTTTTATAACAAGACAGTATTATAAATTCTAACCTATACTGAGCTAGAACTTGCTTGCCTGTAATTTCCGTGGTCTATAGTCCTAATGATATACATTATGGTTTTATCTTGGCCTATAATTCATTATCTTCTTATATACCCAAATTTTTAGTTGTTATAAATGGCTCGCCTATTTGGTATAATGGTTTCTTTTTTTCTTCAACTAAACAAAATATATGCAACAATTGATATTTTAAAATTTGATACCAATATTGATAGTTTAAGGTAAAAATAAACTAATTGATAGTTCAAGGTGAAAATAATACAGGTTTTGGTTAGAACGATTGCTAGACAAGTGGGAAACAACAAGGAAATAATCCTTTAAAAATATTCAGTTTTTTTTCTTTTTAATGCTGAACCAAACCAGAAGAGCAGTACACATCTAAAGACTTAATTCTCATGAGGGTGAGATATTTTTTGTTTGATGACAGACGCACATGTTGGCTTATCACTTTCTTAAAGTCTGTGTTGTGAGGTATTGCAGTTTTAATAAAGCTGCCTGCTTTGTTAGCTAAGTATCATTATCACAACTCTTTTTAAAAAAATGTATTTTTATTGATTTCAGAGAGGAAGGGAGAGGGAGAGAGGGATAGAAACATCAATGATAAAAGAGAATCATTAATTATTTGCCTCCTGCACATCCCCCACTGGGGATTGAGCCCACAACCCAGGCATGTGCCCTGACCAGGAATTGAACTGTGACCATAGGTCAGTGCTCAACGACTGAGACACACCAGTCAGGCTATCACAACTCTTGACAGTTTTGTAAAAAATGTTAAGGAAATTTAAGTTACGCATTTAAAGTTGAACAATATCTGTAAGCAGATCTTGAGAATAGCATACAATACCTCAAAATATGTATACTTACATATTTGGATTTTTAATATTTGAAGATAAACCTTAGGAATTATCTTAATAACTCTATTATTTATTATGTCTCAGTCCATCCTGAGCTTTCATTTTTGCTTTTGATTTCTCACATCTATATTTTAGGGTAGGTAGACATTGATCATTGTTTTTCTTTGGTCCTTTTACTTTTTTAATATGGAAATGTATGTTTTGTTTTTTCCTTTTTAGGGGCTGCTTTCTTACCTCATCATTGATAGGCACACTTGCACTAAGCCTTACAATACCTCTGTCTATAATAGCTGACATGTGTATGCAAAAGGTAAGATAAGCTATTTATTAGATATTTTATGTATATTATTAAACACAGAGCTAATGAAGGTTTAGGGATGTGACTGAATTATAAGGGATACAACCATGAAAAATACTTGATGCCTTCTCTCCCAAGGTGCTCTACTACATAGAGATGTAAAAAGTACCCAAAGAGCCCAAGCGGGTTTGGCTCAGTGGATAGGATAGAGAGTTGACCTCCTGGGTTTGATTCCAGTGAAGGGCATGTACTTCAGCTGCAGGCTCCGCCCCGCCGGGGCCCTGATCGGGGCTCCTGTAGGAGGCAACCAATCACTGTTTTTCTCTCACATCGATGTTTCTCAGTGTCTTTCCCTCTCTCTTCCACTCTCTTTAAAAAAAATCAATCAATGTAAAAATATCCTCAGGTGAGAATTAAAATAAAAATGCCGAAAGAAATGGATAATATCTTGCATTTTTAGCTTTTCAATTTTTTATCTTAAGAGTAGTATCTTTATATGTAGCTTTCCATCTTAGAGTAGATATATTCCATATGATCTTTGTTAAGTCCGTGGTATAGAGTAGGGATATATTTTATCATTTAAGTAGTAGTGTTTTGATTTCTAAGATAAAAACCCTGCTAATACTACTATAAATATGTGAGGTATATGAGAAGTGTTGCTTCTCAGCAAATGTTCATTTCTTTCTGAACTCAGCAGGGCAGGGGCCTCCTCCCTCTTCTATGAAGTCCTGGTCTTGATACGGGGATCTTGTGATAAATATTGGCAGTACTGCAGAAAAGAGAATCTGTGTCTCTCCCAACAGCCTGAAGGGAGGAGTTTCTTTAGTGCTCCTAAAGGTTAACAAGGAGAAAAGAGATGTGCCATTGGCTAATGCTAAAAGATGTAATGTAGCATGGACCACTCAGTTCAGTATTTGTAAGCTTTTAAGTAACAAAATGGTGTGTGTGCGCGCGTGTGTGTGTGTGTGTGGGGGGGGGGGGTGGGGGGGAGGTGTTGGTTTAATATAATTGGAAGAGGAAATACTTGAAAGCCCAAAGGCATAATGTGAAGAACTTATAATCAGATTTTGAAAGCTAATTTTCTTTAGATCTTTTTGCACTTTTTAGGATAAAGTCAAAATACTCTTAAAGATATCTATCTTCTTTATTAAAAAAAAAAACTATACTGATATTTAACATGGTTTTGTGGTTTAGTAAATTCTTATTTATCATGGTTAAAAATGGACATCTCCTTAATTGAGAATTAATTATCTTACATAGCATGCATTTTCAAAGAATGTCAAAATTATAAAATATATATAATACTAAAGTTACACATATTAGATTCTCTTTATAGATTTAAATAATATCCAGGTCCTTTACATCTCAGGGTCATAATCTTGAATATGAACCAAAATTGTTATAGTGAAATTGAGGAAGTAAGGATTTTGGTAGACCACTATGCAATTGAACTTTAATGTTCCGATATTTTGAAAACATTAGCTTTTGTACATTTGAAAAATAAAATTGAAGGTTAATTTTAGGGAATTTAAAAAAAGGAAATGTCATGGGGGATCTCATTTTATTAAATGATTTTATAATTTGTTTAATCAAATACTTTAAGATGAAGGTAAAACAAGAGAAAGTGTGTGTGTGTGTGTGTGCGTGTGTGTATATATATATATACACACACACACTAGAGCAGCGGTTCTCAACCTGTGGGTCACGACCCCTTTGGGGGTCAAATGACCCTTTCACAGGGGTCACCTAAATACATCCTGCATATCAGATATTTATATTATGATTCATAACAGTAGCAAAATTACAGTGATGAAGTAGGCCATGAGGAATTATATTAAAGGGTCGCAGTATTAGGAAGGTTGAGAATCACTGTACTAGAGGCCTGGTGCATGAAATTCATGTACTGGGGAGGGGGGGTGTCCCTCAGCCCGGCCTGCCGCCCTCTCACAGTCTGAGACCCCTCGGGGGATATTCACCTGCCGGCTTAGGTCCAACCCCTCCACCCCCCGACAGAACTGTAATAACATATCACAACTAGACCATAACATACTTTTTTAAAATTTGAGCTGACAGCCAGACATCCCTCTCGCAGTCCAGGACCCCTCACTCCTTACCGACCCCTGCAGCGGAGGTGGGAGAGGCCCCCGCCACGACCTCTGCGCTCGCCAGCTGTGAGTCCAGCTTCTAGCTGAGCAGCGCTCCCCCTGTGGGAGTGCACTGACCACCAGGGGACAGCTCCCGCATTGAGTGTCTGTCCCCTGGTGGTCATTGTGTATCATAGCAACTGGTCATTCTGGTCGTTTGGCCTTAACGGTCACTTAGGCTTTTATTATATAGATATGTCATTGATTAGAAAAACATATCCAAGTGGTCTTTTCTGGATTGTCTTCACATATATTATTAGGCAACCATTTAAATGAATAAGCTGAGTCTGGTGGAATTGAAGGTTGGGAGATGCCTTCTGGAAAAAGTCACAGGGCAGGCCCCAGAGCTATACTAGAAAAGCATGATGGGAGAAATGTACTTGCATGGGAATTTTTTATTCTATTAGCCAATCATGTTTATATATACTTTCTGAAATTTTAGCATTTATTAACAATATTTGTGCTTAAAAATATTATTTGAACTTATTTATAATTGACATGTTGTATAATAGGAACTATATCTGATTACTAGTATACTTAGACTTATTTTCAGATATATTTAGGAATTATATATTTTTTATATAGGCAATTTTCTTTGTTAATAGGTGTCTTCATTTTTAAAAATTATCTTCTTAGCTTCTTGGAAATCCAGTAGTAAGTTTTATAGTATGTGGCAACATGCACCTGCATTGTTACAAGTGAACTTTCCTTTAAAAGTCATCTAGGGTTTCACCTACCTTTATAAAGTTTGCTTTAATTCAGTTATAGGGTTTTTAGTTGAATATTCATGAAATCATTCTGTCAACTAGATCTACATTTTAGCCCTCAGTATTCATAAGTTTTTCTGGTCTTGAGTCATTTAAGTGCATTGTGGCTTTTCTAGATGAGAAAATGTTCTAAGATTTTGTTATACCAATAATTTGATAACAGCATGAAGGCTTTTTATTTTCTCTTACTGACTGATCTTTCCTGGCATTCTTAGGCTGACTCAGCCTGTGGGTTGTACCGTGCACTCAGGATGTGCATGTTAAATTGTCAGTTATTGTTCATGTGTTTATACATTGTGAGTCCCTCATAAAAAACATCATTCTCACAAAACCCCTTTGCTCTGTCTAATGGTGGTTTGAAGTGAAATAGTATATGTTTCCCACCAGAGGGAGTTCTTAGTTGAATCTAGGTAGTAAAGGTAAACTGAAAGAGAAGAATGATTTTTTTTTTGTAACTTTATGGCATCTCATTATTTTTAAATTTCTTGACAACCCTCATAAAATGATGGGTTGGAGGGTCTGACTTGATGGCTGAGGACTCTGCACCACTGAGGCGTAGCTTGCTGCTTGTCTTCTCTGGCTCACATTTCTCACATTCCTATTTGTAGTCTTTATTTTACTTTTGAAATTTTTTTGTTACTAGATAATCAAGCTCATTTTAAGTGTCAGGATTAAAATTTGTTGCCAATTGTTAATAAAAGGTTTATAGAAGTTGAAGTTAAGAGTTTAATCTGTTTTTAATACTATCTTAAGAACTGTAACAACACAACATATCACAACTAGACCATAACATACTTTTTTTAAAATTTGAGTTTTTAAGATGACTTCAGAAACTGAAGGGCAGGATCAAGTTGAGATAAATAATAATCAGTGAATGGGAAATGGGCAACGTGATCCGTAAGACAAAAGCTTAGAGTTTCATAATTCTGTTCTCAGCCATACTGTGCCTAATAAGTGAAAAGCATGCCTTTCTGGCTTTCCTTTAGGCTGTTTCCCAAGTGAGAAATATTTTTGTTGGTAATTTAAGCAAGTAGTTAAGATGTTGAAGTCCTGAATCCTTTTTAATAATAATATACTTACGAATGTATTGTCAGTACTTAGTATTACTAGTATTTTCTTGGCTTGTTAACTTATTCCCGTAACTTTTCATAAATGGGAAACTTACATTAAAGAGGAAAATCGTCTTCATAATAATGATTGTGTTTTTTTTCTACCTTTTATTTTTAGGTGCAGTTTTCTTGGTTATTTTTTGCAGGCGCTATCCCTGTATTTTTTTCATTTTTTATTGTAACTCTCCTATGCCATTATAATAATTGGGATCCTGTGATGGTGGGAATCAGAAGAATTTTTGCCTTTATATGCAGAAAACATCGAATTCAGAGGTAGATTTAGCTACAATATAATTTTTAAACAAATAATGTTTGCTAAATAAAATGGGAATCATATTATGCTGGCCTAAATTTTAGAGATTTTGTGAATTATTGAAAGATTATAATTATATATGTACTATGCCAGGCAAAATTAAAATAATTTGTTCAGATCCTTAGGTTATAAGATAGTTTCTTCACAACTACTTTTAAAAAATGTTTTGATTTACAGGTAAAACTAAAGTTCTTACTGTTTTGCTATAACACATTTAAATGTAGAGAACTCTTATTGGTTTTAATAAAATTCATAATAAAATATAACATTGCTTCAAAATTTTTTTCAATTTTTTTAAACAGAGAGAAAGCTTTCATATTCTATTATAGAAAGAACTTGAGACAAGTTGTTGAGAAATTTTGCCCTAGTCTTAGTTCTGACCACACAGCTTCAGCCATCTCTATGGATCATTTTTAAGGGTTCCTTTTAGCTCTAAAGCTTTCCTTAACTGTTGCCTTTTTTTAAAAGGGTTTCAGAAGACAGTGAACAGTGTGAGAGTCTTATTCCTATGCACAGTGTTGCTCAGGAGGATGGAGCAAGCTAGCTGTTGTCAGTCGTCCAGGTTTGTATGTTAGCTGGCCTTAGTGTTGACTAATTCTAATTCTTGTATTGCTTATATACAAAATTGAATTTTCGTAATTAGTTGTTTGAGAGGCTATACAACCAAGAGGCTAATGGAGTTAAACTGCCTGGGTTTCATTTCCAGCTTCACCATGTACTAGCTCTGTGACCTTAAAACAAGGTTCCTAACCTCTCTGTGCCTCAGTTTTCTTATTTGTGGAAACGGAGTTATAATAGAAATTCCCTCATTATTAAGGGAGTATTAAACATAAGTTTAAACTTCATAAGTTTAAAGTACATACAGTATTAGTGCCTGACTCAAACTAAGTGATTCCAAGTTTTAACTGTTACTTTTATTCATGTCCACCATCATCATTTTACCTATGATATACTTTAGAAACATGTTTTTTCTCTAAGTATAACATTCAGAAAAAATGCAATACTTGGATATGTATTCAGTCTTTTTGTTATGCATGTGTTATTATAACTGGCCCCGTATGTATCCTGATTCTCTGCTTTTTCATTTAACAATGTTTGAAGAACATTTCCCCAGTTTTTAAAAATTTTAAGAAATATTATCTTTTATATTTCTTATATGAATGAAAAAGTACATTACATTTTATATTTTGCTGAATGAATGTTTAAAATATATCTGACATATGTCTTTGTCCGGTACAAAAGTGATTATTTAGAATGAGAGATCATAATAAGTTACTGAAATTCTGGGCATGCAGGTTCTTTTTTCTGAGATAACTTTAGGCAGCTGAGATTGAAATGTATCCTAATTGCAACTGGGGGTTCCCCTCCTCACATAGAACATGGAGCAACTCCTGTCAATTCCTTGTAATCACACGGACCTTGAAACTTAAGTAAATTCCTCATGGTAAATTCATATACAAGCTAATTGTCTTGGTTTTGTGTTTTTCTGTGATTGGTCATTTTCTTTTTGTTATGATGGTTATACGTGCCCGTAGTTCAAAAGGGTTCGAGTTCTACATGACATCTTACACAAAGGAGCTCTCCCTGCTCTGCACTGTCTATCCTGTGTTCACTCTTTTCCCATTCTCAGGAATCACTTTAAACTCTTAGTGGAGTCTTTGGTATTTTCCTCCCTGGCACTCTAAAGTACCATGACTATACTTCTGTTTCTTGCTTTCTCAGTTTTAGGCATATTCAGTTGATTTTCCCACTATGGTAAATGAGGATGGGTTACTTTCAAGTGCCTCCCTCCTCTGTTCTCACCCCACTTGCCTATTTGCCAACACTATATCACTCCTTCCTTCTTATCAACCCAGTATCATTATTACATAATTTTGTGTAGATCTCTAGTCAACTTTTACATTGTTATGACTATACAAATGTTGCTTTTATCTGAGCCATATAGGTTTGTGCTTGGCATTTCCCCAATCCAGAGACCCTCTGTTACTACTTCTTCTTTTAGGAATAAGCCCCTTTTGGGAGGCACCAACTGTGAAAAATAAAAGGAGGGCATCTGTTTTCTAACTGCTTTTTCTATAAAATTTGCACCAGTCTGCTTGTTTTTAGTCGTGTCTTCATTTTAGAGAAATAACTGGTCAATTTCTCTACTGCTAGCTAAGAGTTAGCCACTATTTTCTTGTCTCTGCTCTGCTCTTTGTCCACATGGTTTATTCCTTTTAAAAAGTTCCTTTATTGTCTTTTTACTGAGATTTTTAGGGACAGAGTAGAACTAATATGTGTTTATTTGCCATCTTTAAATTAAAAAAATACATGTAGTTATTCTTTAAAGCTTTTTATTGCTATGACATACATTTTCCCTCCCTAGTATGCTGTGCATTATCCCCGTATTCACACTTAAGTTTCGATATTTATGGAAGTGAGAGCTGGATAAAGGGGAGAAAGTGAAGACAAAAGAAAATGGGCTACAATAAAGCAATAAAGTAGAACAGGTTGGGCAGGAGTCTGTCTCAATTCGGGTAATGGTGGAATACACCATGATTAAACTTATTACATGATCTTTAAGTAGTGCTGGGTGTCAGCCTTTGACACTGCTATAGAACTCAATTACATGTGTTCTCAGGACTCACCTCAAGTTCATATATCCAATTATATATACTACATAGATTGTGTTTGATGTATATTTCAATGTTAAGATAATTTGCTTTTTAAAATATAAACTATAGAAAATTAAAGCTATGATAGCTGTTATCTAATGATTTTGTGTTTGCTTTTATTTTCAGCTTGACAATGGAACATTATATATAAGCGAAGAGACAATCTCTGGCAAGGTTTTGGAGAAAAATGTTTCAGTGCCTACTCTGAAAAATAACATTTTCAGTTCTTTGGAACTCTAAAATATATTTTCCTCATATTGGTGTTCTTCATTTTCATAATGAAGTTCTTTGCTATATAGCTGTGTACACGTCACCACAGTTATAGGAAGTTTCAGTCCACAGTCTGTCTAAAGGACCACCTGCCTTACACATCTCAAGGAATTCAGCCGATGAAATAATCTGAACTAATCAAGGGATAAAATCCTAATGTCTGGAGATTTTATCTTCACCTATTATTTGTTAAATGCTGGACTGTATTATGAAAATGTTTCCAAGAAATCGTTTAGTATATAGATCAATGTTTGTATAGGTAAAATGCTAAATTAAGCTGCCTATAATAGGTACAGATTATATTTCTGAGTTTTGTAGAATATTGCAAATTAACACAAAAAATGTTTAATTTATGTGACAAATATATTTACACAAATTTGGTTAGACTTCAGAAAGAATATTTGAGAAAAGGTCTGGTTCACTTACACTACATATACTGTGTTATCCTTTCATAGCATTAGGTGCCTTGTATTTTAAATCTGTGACAAACCATGACAAATTTTTAAAGGGGAAATATTGTAAAATGAAGAATCATGTATTTCTAAAGCCTGTATTGCTGTAAATTTAATTGATAAAGCTCTGTTTAATTTAGAGTTTTGAAGAAATATTCTCTCTTCAATTAAGACATTTTCATAGTGGAATGACTTAAATTGAAGTGATAAAAGAGTATTATGAAAATAAAGTGTTTATATATATGTGTGTATTATAGATCTATCAGTTGGTTTCTGATTTTTTTTTCACATAAAAATGTGTCACATTACTATGGAACTGGATGCCTCTTCTTTATATAATTCTAGGTTTTTAAAAAAAATAATTTTTAATGGATAAAATACCAGAGAAGGAAGGCAAGAAATTCTTATTAAATTACATTTAAAATAAATCTACCAAGTTTAAATTAATTATAAAATCCTCCTAATTTTAACTCCTATACTTAGGTCTTATGTATCCATATTGTGCAACTGTTCCTGGATTCTCGTCACTGTAGACATTGGGAATGAATGTATGTCTCAGGATTCATCCAGGCTTTTCAAGTTCATTACTCTGCAAAATTTCTTATCACTATTTAAAAAATTCCCTTTGCTATGTTTAGCTTCAGTTTGTGTTATTCACATTCTTTTTAAAAAAATCTTTATTGTTGAACATACTACATATGTCCCCTTTTCCCCCAATTGACCCCTTTAGCCTGCCCTGCTCCGTGCCCCGCCCCCCCCCCGCCTTCACCACTTATCTGTATCCATGGGTTATGCATATATGCGTACAAGTTCTTTGGTTGATCACTCCCACCCACCCACCTTCCCACATCTTCCTCTGAGATTTCTCAATCTGTTCCATGCTTCCATGTCTCTGGATCCACTCTGTTCTTAAAAGTGCTTTAGTGTTACCATGAGTCTATAATGAAGTTTAACCCTCTTTCTGCCTGTTCTGAGAACTCATATTAATTTAAGATTGTGTATGATATCACATTTTAAAAACAGATGACTGCTTTCCTGTTTGGTACCACCAATAATTCCTGTTAAGCTAAAAGTAATACTGATTTTGTTAGCTTGACACAAGGTTAAGGCATGTAAAGAGTGAGGACTTCTAAGGAATTTTCTCCTAAAAAGAACTTAGTGAAGTAACATTTCAATCACTCAAAGACTAGTTTTGATTGAAGTTTATTATCTAGCCACCTCTGCTTTTTGTTTTTGCTGTTTGACAGTTCACCAATACCTTCAGCAGTTTAGAGGGTAAGTAGTTGAAACTGGAAGTAACATTTAAATTTTAATTTATTTAGGTAGGAGAAGAGGTTGAACTTAGAATTTTTGGTTCTTCATGTGGCCTATGTTCACGTCTTACAGATCGCGTGTTCTCACTCAGGATTCGGGGAGTATTAAGCCTTCTGTAACGTGCTGGATAGATCTTGAGGAGGACTTCTGGTAGGCAGCTGCTCAGCTGGTTTATTATCGAAGAACAACTGTAGAAGGAAGCACCATTAAATTGCTTAACTGAAGTAAGAATTACTGCTGTTTGCTTGCCCACCTATTGTTTTTCCTCTCATGTTTTATTTATCTGACTGATTTTGTATTTGGTTACTGTACCTAGAGTGAGCAGCAACTGAGGACAACTTCCTGCACTTTGTAGTTAAGGGTTCATCTTCTCGAGATAAAGTGTGATGGAGTACTTGCACTCTGTGATTTCCCAGAAATGTAGGCATCAAGCCCTAGGATCATAGCAGCCACCTGGCAGGCCTCTGGAAATGCTGGGGAGATTGCATCCTCTTTGAGCAGTGTTGGCTCATGTTTATGGTTTTCTGAATCTGAAGATACAAAGAGAGAGTCTAATACCTCATTGCAGTCTTCTTTTCTTCGCATACATAATTTAAATCTCATTATTATATAATGCTTCGAATTATTCCCTTGACTGAAGGAAGTTCGCTGTTTTCTCAAAGACTTTCTGTTACTAAACATTAGAATCTCTACTAAAAACTGAAAGAAAAGGCAGCCTTGGAATTTCTTAGATGAATGCTTTTTGGAGCTTAGAAAGGCTATTTAGATGTATGTAATGCACCCATTTTTATTCTTTTAAGTAAATTTTGATTTTTTTAAAAAATTGAAATATTGGCTTCTATCAGCCTGACTTAATTATAGAGTAAACCAATTTCCCCTCTGAAAGCTGATGAATAAAGTTCATTGTTGCTATAGATGTGAGCTCATGGGTTAAATGTGGATATTCTCAAAGGTGTGAGGCTTGTTTCAGGAAGAATGTTAATGCTCCCTTTGCAATCAGTCATGCAGAGCCCAAGTTGGGGTTGCGGAATATGACTTCAGTGGAAGCCAAGGTTTTTCATAATGCACTGTGGTCAGGTCTAGCACAAATTCTCTGTGTGCTGGTTGAAGAAACACAATTTAAAGACAATAAACTAGGAATTAATTAGAAATGTTGTTTCTTTTTTCATAATCATACCAGCAAATAAATAAAATGTTATTTTAAGTATTTCCAGTTGTAATCCTGCTTCATTTCTCTCTGCTTTTGAGATATTCTTTATTACTAAATACTATTTTAGGAAAAATTCACAGAAATAACAGATGAATATTATCTGTGATATCTGTAGATTTAACTTATATAGCTAACATATTGTGTGCTGGTTTTTTAACAATGACATGACATACATGAGCGTTTCAGTTTACAGAATTTGAAGTTCTCCTGTAATGTTTGTTAAGTATCCAAACTTCCATTTAGATAACAGGTACCTTTTTAGAGTTACAATAGTTAGACCCACATTTCCTTCTTTTTATGGTATTAACCTCATGCATCTGTACCAAAATTTATAATACAGTGTTTCATAGTTTGTGTACTGAGATATTTCCTATATTAACACTTTATAGTATATTCTTAATCTCCTTTGGCTAGTGAATTAAAGCCGAATTTATCTAATATCAGCATGCTTTGTTTTGTATCTATATATATAAAAGCCTAAGTGACTGGACAACCAGCAGGTAGCTATGATGTGCACTGACCACCAGGGGGAAGACACTTAATGCAGGAGCTGCCCCCTGATGGTCAGTGCACTCCCACAGCCAACCTCCCGCAGTCCCTCCCCCACAGCTGACTGGCCCCAATCGGCCCCCATCGCTGGCCAGGCCAAGGGACCCCACGTGCACAAATTCATGTACCAGGCCTCTAGTGTTTACATAAAATGAGAGGGCATCATTCTGACCAAGTTGCAGCATTGAAACTTTATCTGATGGGTCTATGTTGAGTAATCAACCCCGTGTGCAAACACTCTCAAAGAAGGAATAGTATAGAAATCATTTTATATAAAAGCTCCAGTATCAGACCCAGAAGGCCAGAGGTAAGGGAAAGATGAAATATTTATTATAAATTAAGGAAACAGTCTTAGATATAGTCTCCTTGGTGTGGATAATTTAATGCAGATTTTTACCTCAAGTTTGTTACTAAACCTGAAATTTTATTCCTCCATCTATTTAATAAAAAAATATTTCAGACCCTGGAGTATTTAAAATTTAAACATGAAATTAATTTTAATTTCTGCGAATGTTACTAATTCTGTTATAATTTGGGGTCAAAACCCATTTTTTGGAGACAATTGCTTATTCATATACTATGTAATCTGGGAAATTTATACTATGAAGAACCTAATGTAAAATATGCATGATTTACTTTAATGCATTGTTTGTGTAAAATCATTTGCATATTCTATTATAGTATTTCCTAATCTCAGTAAAAATACACAAGCCAAGATCCATCTTTGTACAAGCCAGTATTTGATTTCTAGTTTTCTTTATTAAAACATTTTCACTCATTCTTTCATGCCTCGATGTCTAAGATGTATCTCAGGTACCTGATAAGTTAGATCTTCCTGTGAACAACATGGTCAGTTTTGAGAGACCAAACACGCTCAGTGAGTTGCATCTTCCGCATGTTAAAGTCTAAAGCCAATGTAAAAGGTGAAGTTCTGGAATAATGTATTCTTGGGAAGGTTTCCTGGAGGAGATCCATATTCCATTTTGTGATAAGGCCACTCCAACGAGTTTTCCTCTAAGTTGGAATAGCTCACTCTTTTACTGAGGATTGTAGCAGTCAGGGTTCTACCAAGAAAAGAAAAACTACTTGAGGATTTATACGCGAATTTAAAACGATTGCTCAGTGTTAAAAGAGCTGAGAGGACAGGCAAAAGACTGAGGTCACTCAGAAATTAGTAACAGCAGGAAGCCAGTACTATCCCAAGGCTAATTGGACAAAGGAAGGAGGTGGGGCAAAACTCAAGGCCAGGGTCATGCAAAGGAAGCCGAACTGTAGCAGAGAAGAGCAGGGTCTTAGAGGTGATGCAGCTGATGGCAAAGCAGTACTCTGGCTTCTCTTCCTTCTGTCATTGACTCCGGTTGGCAACACCTGACTGGAAGCCAGAGGCCCCAGGAGCTTGGGAAGTGTGGCCTGTAGGTGTCAGGGAGCCAGAGTCCACAGGCCCAGACCTGGCCCAGGCACTGAGGAGCTGGCTTGCACTGGGAGGCCAGGTTGTGTAGAGAACGCATATCCTTAAGGAGTAGAATCAACAGATAAAGATGACAGTACAAGAAATACTCTGGAAGCATCATTGGCTTTGTCTCAGGTCCACTCCAGAAAGAGGATTTGGAGGAAATGCCTGCCCTGGACTTCATTTCTCATTCGTATCCCTCCTCTACTACTTCCCACTCCCTCCTTTCCTTGTTCCTTCTCTCCCCCAAACAGGGCTAGTGGGAAATGTGAGCAACAGTATTGCTTTTTAAAAATCAAACATGAAAATAGAACATGAAAAGCATGTGTAGTGCCTAACAGGAAAAGAGCTAAAGCATTCAGGATACTACAGTCATGGAAGTGTTGGGAAAGAGGAAGCAATTTCTTAAATGACTCATGAAAGATAGAAAAACCTTAAGGAATTAGTGTTCTCAAAACTTTATTTAGAACTTCATCTACCTAATTACTTAGAAAAGTCACTTAATCTTACGTCATCCCTCACCTTTAGAGAAAAAAGTGTAAACCAGTTCACAAATTATAGGGTCACTGTTTTACCACTGGAAGCATCTCTACAGACTATCTAGTGACAGAATTAGGGTGACCATGTGTCCCAGTTTGTTAAGGACAGTCCCAGTTTACATCTGCTTCCTAGTATAATTATTAATAGTGCCTCCTTTCACTCAAAACTGTCATAGTTTAGATAAAAAGTTATATGACCATCTGACCACCCCAGTATACCTGTTTCTGACAGCTCAGCCTGACAAA